ACACACACACACACACACACACACACACACACACACACACACACACACACTCTCTAATCAGTTTTATTGCTATTGTCGACTGCTTCCTCCCACACGCTGCTTGAGACTCACATCCAGAAGCTGCAGTCACAGGACTTTTAGGCACCAGTGCAAACTGTAAGACGACCTCATACATGACTCTTCGTAACCAGGACGTCCTCAGCGTTGATCAGCGTCGACTCCGAAGCTTTCCATGAACTGAGGTGACCGCAGGGACTGAATGATCTGGAGCGCTTTTGGCTCCCATCCAGTCCCCGTTTGTCAAATCCTGGATCTGAGCTGGAAAAAGAAACGAACGTTTTTCCTGTCAAACTGAGTTGTCTTTGACATTTCTCATAGATAAACTACAGAAATGGGAACAAACGATGTGGTTTGTAAATAAGCAGCTAAGAGCCTAAAGACATATAAAGCTGGTTCTTTGCCAAACTGTTATGTGCAGACACAGCGCTCGCGTCGCTGGGATGTCTGCACCAGCGAGTGTTTGTGCTGCAATATGAACTCTAATATAAACTGATGACAGATATAAAACTACAGTAACTGTGACGTGAATGAATTTCCACGTTCAAATTCTTCATGTTGTTCACACCGTAGAGCGAAAGCTTTGTACTGCAGGTATCTTTGTACGAATCAGAAAACCGTGTCTGACGAGGAAGAATCGTTCGATGAGTCGGGCTCCGAATAACAACGAGAAACACCTGGAGTGTCGACGGGACGAACTCTGACTAAAACCGAGAATAGTAAAAGACTGATTAATCTGAAATATTATGTTTAAATACATGTTTTCAGTAACTCGTGTATATTTTGGGACGTTGGGGACGAACATGTCATGAACTGAAGAGACAGCTCTAGGCTCTGATGTTTAAACTAAGAGAGCGATCGAGGAGGAAGTCGACTTTTTGGCACGAGTTTGAAATTCTCATTTGCATTTAAATGCATCAGATCTCAGTGACGTCGTGTTATTTCTGGCCAATCTCAGCCCTGCTTTCGCCACAGCTCGGTGAGAGGGCGGGGTCGGGAGGGCGTGCAGGGATTGGCTAAGACGAAGCAGTAAGCTTTGTGTGGTCAGCGAAAGTTTCTGGTCTCTGCAGGATTATCAGGCTGGAAAAATAAACCCTGGAATATTTTGTATGCATTGTGCAGCGTGATTCCTGTAAGTCAGCCTGGAGACTGAACCTTCCTGTAAAAGGAACTGATGGATGGATGAGAGTCTTCAGATAAATCCTGACGTCACTTCCCAGCATTCGCCGTCCCGCTGGCTGAATACAGACGAGCTGTGAGCTCTTCTCGGGGTTGTGAGAGCAGGTCGGGGGTCTGTCGGTGCTTGGTGCCCTGATTCGTCCTCCTTTGATTCAGAGGAATGTCTCCTCTGCTGTCCCTGTGTCCTCTCCTAGCGTAGCACGGTGCACATCCTCATCTCCTCAGAAAGAGAGAAGCCCCTCCCTCCCCGCTCTCTTTAAATAAGAGGACGGAGCTAACAGCAGCACCTGCGCGCAGCAGATCATCAGACAGACGTGACGTCGTCATTAGTTTGTAACAGCGGGGAGGATCTGAGAAAGAGGAGCGCGCACAGTTTTCAGTTACAGCGAACAGGTTGAAGGAGGCAGATGCAGCAGATCTGCTGACACAGTGAAAAAAACACCGACAACCTCATCCACTTCACCCCACCTGCTGCTGCTCCCGTATCTGTGTTACTGTCACCTCCTCACCCAGCCGGGAGGAGCACACCAGCCTGACTAACACTCCTGCAGGTATTTAGCATCACAAAGAGACTTAGACACATTTACAGAGCGCATCAGAGCGCAGCTGCAGCTGCACGAGGTTATTTATAGAGATGTATGCATGCAGGGGAGGAAATCACACTGCAGGATTTATAAGCTAATTTGTTTCTGTGTCAACATTTCAAAGTGAAGAAAACAAATGCAAACATAAAAAATGGATTCAAGACAGAATATATCCAAGAAAAAGTCTGTAAGCGTGGATATCTGAGGCACTATCAAATATTTATGACTGTGCAGTCGTGACACCAGCCGACAGCGACTTTAATAAATACCCATGGCGCCGCGTGCATTTCCACACGTGACACGGTCACTGTGGAACTGAATCAGGATCTGAGGGTAAATACGGTGGATGTTCTTGTGCACAGTGTCGGGTCAGCTGCAGACTTCAGGTTTAGCTCTGCTCTGGATGAAGCCGCCGGAGAAAAGTCTGAATCCAGTAACAGCGGAGGCATTTGAGAGTCGCTGATGATGACGAATAAGAAACCATCAAATAACCATGCCCCCCCCCCCCTCTGTGTCTGCAGGCAAAGAAGGGTCCGTACGCCTTCCTCTGGGACATGGCGGTGCTGGAGTACGTGGCCCTGACGGATGACGACTGCACCGTCACCGTGTCGGGAAGCAGCATGAGCAGTAAAGGCTACGGCATCGCCATGCAGCACGGCAGCCCATACAGAGACCTCTTCTCACAGAAGTAAGTGAGCTCGTGTTGCCGAGGAGGGAAACCTCCTCATTCCCAAACTGCACCTGTAAAGCTGAACTTTACCTGGCAGGAGTCAGGGGTGGAGTCAGGGGTAGAGGTGGTAGGAATCAGGGTGGGTCAGGGTGGAGGTGGTAGGAGTCAGGGTGGAGGTGGTAGGAGTAGGGGAGGTGGTGGAGTTGGAGTCAGGGTGGAGTCAGGGGTGGAGGTGGCAGGATTCAGGGTGGAGGTGGTGGAGGTGGCAGGAGTCAGGGGTGGAGGTGGTAGGAGTCAGGGTGGAGGTGGAGGAGTCAGGGTGGAGTCAGGGTGGAGGTGCAGGAGTCAAGGGTGGAGTCAGGGTGGGTAGGAGTCAGGGTGAGGTGGTAGGAGTCAGGGTGGAGTCAGGGTGGAGGTGGCAGGAGTAAGGGTGGAGGTGGTAGGAGTCAGGGTGGAGTCAGGGTGGAGGTGGGAGGAGTGGCAGAGGGGTGGAGTCAGGGTGGAGGTGGCAGGATTAAGGGTGGAGGTGGTAGGAGTCAGGGTGGAGGTGGTAGGAGTCAGGGTGGAGTCAGGGTGGAGGTGGAGGAGTAAGGGTGGAGTCAGGGGAGGTGCAGGAGTCAGGGTGGAGGTGGCAGGAGTCAGGGTGGAGTCAGGGTGGAGGTAGCAGGAGTCAAGGTGGAGTCAGGGTGGAGGTGCGTACCAGAGGAGTTGGACTTACAGAACGTGCACTCAGCTTGTTCCTTTAATGGTGTAAAAAGCGCTGCAGCAACAAAAACATTTAAATCCAGAAACACTTGCAGATCCGATCAGCTGTTCATAGCTTTCACATGTCTGCTATTACCTGCCAAGACAGGAAGTGATGTCATTTTCCATGTAGTTTTTCCCTACAGGGCCTTTCAAAGGTCTCCTGGTGTTTACTGGAGTCGTGTCTGACTTTGTGCCTTTCTGTGTGGTTTCTGGGAGACTCAGAACTCAAACTGCACTGCTGGAAATCGTTTATTTTGATGCTGTTTTTTGTGCAAATTGTGCACAATAATATTTATTTTGTTTTTCCTGTAAATTTCCTGTGCTTGCAAACTATTTTGTGCAACTTTTTTGCCTTTACAGTTTTGAGGGACGACATCTGAAACTTCACAAGTAAAAAAACTAAAAGTATTTTGTAGTTTATTGCACTTTTGTGCAATTTATGTAATTACTATGGACTTAATGCATGCATGTTATTAAAATTTGGGATATAGCAGTTGTATTGACGTATAACAACTTGACATGCTCCCAAAGATGGCACTACAGCAGGTAAAAGTAAAAGAGTTCAGCTCTGCAGACTGTGGTGGGCTTTAAAGGGTTAAAACAGCTCACAGAAGATGTTCAGGCTAATATCTGCCCGAGCAGGCCGAGCCGCAGTGAATGACTGTCGGAGGTGCAGAGTGCAGTCCAGCTGTACAGCGACTGAAACGTGTTTCATTGTGATGTGGAGCGGTCTAATTCCTGCAGTAATGTGTTCCCCGTGTTCAGGTGGGAGCGAATGATCTGATGGGTCTGCTGACATTGTGATAACGTGAGCCTAACGTTAGCTAGATTGATGTTAGCCTATAACCAGCTGTTGCTGTTGCCAGCTGTCCGGACATGTGACATGTGAGCATCACATGTGACGATATCGGGAGTAAATGAGGAGGAAGAGGATGCTCGGTGGCGTCTCCTTCATATCTTTAATACCAGAGTTTAAATACGCCTCCAGCTTCTCCTTCCACATGTGTGTCTCCAGCCACACAATCAGTCAGAAGGCTGCATTCAAATATGGCGGGGAACATGGCGGCTTCCACAAACAACAAACCTGCTCTGGAGGTTTTATTACATTAATTATAAGTTTATGAGGATGCGTCAGTTTGTTGGAAGGTGCAACTACACACCACTCTTTGTGTACTGACTTTAGGAAACATTATGCTCACCACATTGGTGTTGGATTACAGAAATCAAGAGGTGCACAAACAGAGGTTCATGAGGGCAGAGCACGTGGCGTTGGTCCAGATGTCCACACTGCATCACGTGGAGATGTGAACGCCCGCTCCGATGTCTGACCCATCCGACCTGATCCCGGGAGGCTCAAACATTTTTCTGTGCTTGTTTCAATAAAAAAGTGCAGATCTGAGCTGCTGTTACATCTGCAGTTTCTCCATGTTTGATCAGTCCAGGTGCACGCCGCCCACGCTCACCGCCGCCAGTGTAGGAAGCTTTATTTAAACTAGATATGGGTTCATAAAGCAGATAACGCGTACGTGCTGAAAACACGGGCTCTCTCGCTTTCCGATGAGGTTTCTCTTTCCACGGAGGCTGTAAACACGATCGCCGGGGCGCGGTGGCGTCGCTCTGAGTTTGAGCCTTAAACGACAGTCGGAGGCGCGACTGCGCGGCAGCGCTTTGAATAAAAGCTTGTGTTTTGTGCAGCGAATGTGAGCCTGAGGAGGAGTTAATGATGAAGGCTGGAGGCTTTTGTCAGGAGTTTGATCCCCTTTGCTGACATTAAGGCTTCATTATCTTCCTGTAAATCCTCCGATGTGAGTGAAGAGTCCTCACAGCGGCGCCGTCTGAGCCAATTACGGCAGGCTGCTTTTAAACGTACGCTAACGAGGCGACACTTTGACTGGAGGATGAATCGGTGTCACGCCGACTAATCTGAAACTTCACGGAGGAGTGCAGGTGTTTGAAAGTTGGAGAAGTGCTGCAGCGCGAGGTGAGGAACACCTCCTGCAGGCAGACTTTGCTCGCCATTAAATCAATAACCGCGCTCGGCGCTAAAGTCAATTAAGCTCACATGAAACGAGCCCGTATTAAGGGCAGCGTTGTGAAGCAAATGGGATTATTATGTGTAAACAGAAGGCCGCGTGCTAATTACTCACTCGATTTTGCGAGGCAGATGTCTCAACACGGGCTGCGAATTTTGAGGAAATTCAATCTTCCCTCCAGATGAAACGAGCGAGGCCGAGAGCCCCAAACGCAAATTGATCCCAGAGCGAGTTTAAACACCTCGTAGATCATTTAGTAAATCTCCACATTATTACATCATGAAATTAACACCGAGCGCCAGAAAACTCAAAACTTTCTCATCCGTCTCGTATCGATCGGCCCCGAGAACGAAGAGGAAGGAAGCTGATGTAAGAGGCGACCCACGTCGACAAAGTGGCCGCCAAACACAGGAAGCTAGTTTTCGTGGGGTTTAAGAGCTTCACACGTCCTTCCAGGAAACAGGTCGTTAATACTGAGGTAAAAGTGGAGCAGGTGGACAGAAAACACCCGTCTGCCGCTGAGTCTGCAGGTCCAGAATTTTAACGAAACCTACGACGAGATGTATCCTTGAAGTTGTCTCCAAACGTTTTACACTGTGTGAAAATGGTTTTTCGCTCCTTGAACGCGCACAGACGTGAGTGGATCCTGGAAGCTGACAGCTGTTTGTAGCCTGTTAGCCTGAGTCAGTGTCTGACGGCGGCCTCCAGATTCAGGTAAACAGTCATCGAGTTGCAGTGATGGTAATATTATCCACAGCGTGTACAGTGTTCCACATCTCAGCGTTCTGCACTGGCCTGCTGGAGGTTTGCAGCTCGCACGCATTAGAAGAGCCCATCCCTCCTCTGCCGGCACAGAGGAGCAGATCCCGGTCCCCTTGGTGGGTCCTGTTCAGCTCTCCTACAGTAACTGGCCGTCTCCTGGAGTCTCCTCCAGGCTCTGGAGACGGTCCTGGGAGACACAGCAAACCTCGATGTGCCACCCTGGAGGAGTTGGACTACCTGTGGAAACTCTGGAAGGTCCAGGTATCACCTCATGCTCCTTAACTGACCGGATCAATATCCCAGGAGTTTAACGGGCTCGATGCTGCACTCGGATTTAAACACATTCCTTTAACTTTGGCTCTTTGTTAACATCCACTGCTAACTCGAACCACATTATCCGTGCTGTGAGCTTCCAGCACATCTGGTGGGTCAAGTATGAGATCAGTAGCAGCACAAAGCACAGCAGAGCTCACGATGGTTTCTTCCAGACTCTTCTTACTTTATTTAACCGGCAAATGAAAGTGGACAGGCCAGCCGGACAGGTGGTGAATTCAAACCGTTAGACGTTTCCCCTCCAACTGTCACGGACCCGGGAGTGTCACAGGGAACGACTTAATTCATATTAAAGAATCTGAGTTAGGTCCAACTGCCGGCTGACTTCAATGAAACCTCTCGTCTGTGTCGCAGCAGGCCTCCTCACCTGCCTCCCAGGTGTGCACGCTCTGTGATTTGGCGTGGGGAATGAAAGCAGCTGGAGTCCGAGGAGCCGTCTGAACCGACCGCGTGAAGTTTGGGAGCTGCCGTGACTCTCTGTGTAATCCTGCGACAAACAGGAAGCCACAAACAGCCGCTGTGAGCGTTAATAGAGATTTTAACACAAAGCATTAGCAGCAGCACCGCTGTGCTGCGAGTGCTTCATCACCACAGAAAAGGGGAAATGGCTTCTTCAGGCTGCGTTAGAGGCAGCGTGGGAGGGCCGCCCGGGGCCCGACTCCATGAAATGTCAACTATGCCTCCTCCTATCTTGTCTTCTTCATCCTTTGCTCTCTGCTTCCTCATCCTCTCAGGTCGTGTTCACGCAGCGGGCTAATCCCGTTTCTCTTTAAAGCTTTGAGACTGTCCGCTTTGTCACCGAAGAGCGACCACAGGACAGGATAACACAGCACAGCCATTGAAATCCAGGGAACACCTGCACAGTTCAATAGTAAATCAGATGAATCCAAGTTTAATCTGCCTCGGGTCATTGTAAGAACCGGCTGAGAGGTGACCCTCAGCAGGAAGCTGCTCCAAGAGAAAGCTGATGTCCAGTTACAACAATGTTTGATGGGCGAAGGAGCAGCAGGGAAAAACTCGTTTGTGCACGTTTGTTTTTAATGTTTTTCCTTTGAGCAGAAATGCTTAAAGAGCCACGTGATTCTGACCGCCGCACATTTTCTAGCAGCTGCTTTACTCTGAGTCTCAGTAAGCCGGATCGAA